AAACAAAAAAACCCCCAAAACAACAACAACAAAACTGCCAAGAGCTACATCTCACACACTACAGGCCTCAGTTACCATGTTAAATGTTAAAGTTAATGACACTAGAAAAAGCCTGAACAATTATGAGGAACTTGGTAGAGAAAAGAACATGGTAGTGCTTCAGTTTACAAAGTTACCTCTGAATAAACTACAAAACTTCTGAAGTGATCTCCTTGGACAGATGATACCAAAGTGTTTGGCTTTGTTGTTGTTTGTTTGATGTTTGACCATAATACACAGTTCTTGGAAAACCAAACACACATGAGCATAAAGAACAACTTTCGAGCACGGTGGTGGAGGCGTGATGGTTTGGACTAGGTTTGCAGCATTAAGTCACTCATGAACTTCTCTGTGTACTAAAGTGTTCTAGCACCAAATGTGACAGATAAAACTGGGTTAGACAGAAGAATATTCCCAAGCATGGCTGCAGGTCTAAAACACAATGGCTGAAAAATATAAGAATTAAGGCGCTGCAGTGGCCCAGTCAAAGAGGCAAGACTTTAAGAGAGCTGTGTATAAATGAATGAAGCAACATTGTAAAGAAGAGTGCAATAAAATCCCCCCACAATGATGTGGGGGACTGTTAAAGTCATACAGAAAACAGTTACTTCAAGTTAAAGATGTGGAAGCTGTTGAATCATGGAGGGAACTTAGTTTTTCAGTTTACTTTTATATTAAGCCAAACATATACATGCCCTGGTAGAATATTAAGCCACATCAATTGAAACTAGCACAATAAGCATTGGCTCATGTATTATAGAAAGAGTTTAAAACAAAGAGTATTTAGAAAGCTGTGGTTGAACATTTACATACGGTGATGTACGTCAGTGAGGTCTTGAGCAGGTAACAGTTGCAGGACTTGTCTGAATAATGATTACATATAACAGACAAAGACTTAAAGATTCAGACATCTCAGAGCTGGAGAAACAAGTTGAGCCAGGAAATCTCATGCTAGTGTCTTGCGTTTACTGGAATGGTCTGGGAGTTTATTTCTTACTATCGTGAAATAAACACTTTATAAGCACAGAAATATTGACTAAAGATATCTTAACAGCTAAACAACGGGACAAAAGCAGACTGTGTAGTGGAATGGGATAATTACTTACTGTAAGTGCAAACAATGACCTTTTCTAACTGTAACTGACATTTTTCATTGTTACGCCTGTTTTGTGATATTTTTAGGCTATAGAAATAAAGCAGATTAAATGAATTTAAATTAGTTTATTTAAATTCGTTTCTACTGCAGAAGTTTTAAAGTTTACTTAGTTATCTGTAGCTGTAAGACTCATGTCATTATCACGAGTCGTGCATTTGTAACATGGTTTCCAGTGTCTGTGTCTTCAACAACAGTTTGAGCAACAGGCCACCATGACTGAGATGCCTGCAGTGATAATGAGTCCTGGTAAATGTTCTTAAGTACTGCAACCACAAAATAAACAAAGTTAATATAATTCACTCTTGTTAAGCGCTTAACAAGAGACAAGGAGTTTGAGGCAAGGAGTTTGCATAATTTTCTAATAAAGCCCGCATATCTAATTTTAAACTGGATGTTTAACTAGCATCTGGGAAACTGTAAAGTTTTGCTTGCTCATTTGCTCATTTTCAGGTCAAACACTCATTTAACAGCGAAACCTATTGTCTGAAAAATGCCCCTAAAGCAATATTTATCTTGACACATGTACTGCACGCAGCAGTGAATTTTACTTTAAAAGGTCGCAAGAGGTTCAGTTCATTATAATGAAAGGGAATTGTAAACCTATGACATCTGCTGGCTGTGTGGATTCCATATTAGGAGACTCTGAATGTGCCATACATCCAGTTGAGTGACAAAATACAAAACAGACTCCATTCTGAATGATCAGTTCAACTGACAGTAGCATCAAGCTTTAAACAAAGGGGCATGGGGCTGAAATAAAATTCAAGCACCAACTTGAGGCTTTTATTGTTAAACAGCAGGACTTCACAAGCACACCAATCCCTCAGGAAACAACTGCTTTCCCTTCATACTCTACCTGTTTCACGTATCTGGAATACATAACACCAAACAAAATATGATACAAAGAATAAATA